AAATACAATACTCACCAGCGGCATGAAGTAGGTAAACCACTACAAGTGGTGGACTACTTAGACAGCATATTACCCCCCACACACACATACAATAGTGTCCAAACGTATGTATGAGGATTGGGATATACCCATTAGTGTTCATAGGTACGGTATTTAATACTTTCCTGCTACTATAATATAGCTGCCCTGTGCTGTTTCCATAAATATTTTCATGGTAATTGTTGTGTTGAGTGTTCTTCCTGTCGTGGCATCTCGGCTTCAGTATATGATAAGAAAATTTTCTCCATCAAAGCATTTTACAGCGTTCGAAAAATGTCATGTGTTGGTGAATATGGCGGTTGGAACAGAACAGAGACATAGCGTGTTACAAATATTTTTCTATGTTATTTTCTCTATATACAATCTTACGACATTTTTCTTTTAATCCACTGTATACGCTTGCCATTACTTTAGAAAACATTTGCGCACTCTAAATTTATTTTTAATTGCCACATCTGATTTATCGTCCATATCGGCATTACTGTTGGTTCTGTTGTCAAGACTGAATACACGATCAAAAGAGATCGAGGCTGGTACTAAAAAAAAAAAAAAATATACAACACATATCAATTCGGCATTGAATTTCATTCGAAGAGAGCCCCTTCTGAAGCCGCACACCTTTTTCCAGCGCCGTTTCCATAGGTGGAAGTATTCCTGGAACAACCTTTTCGTGGTTGGGATAGCGAGCAGTCACCTCGTCGCATTCTCTTGGGTTGCCTCGACGTCTTGAATTTGTTTTTCCTTTCAAGTGGGATGTAAACAAGTTGCAACTGCGAGATCTTGGTAATATGGTAGGTATCAGACCTGGGGAATGTTGTGCTTTTCCCAAAACAACGGCGTTGTCAGAGTGGAATTGTCACTCACCGGGCTCATGCAATTCTGTGGTCCTGTTTCTTTAGGTAAAATAATTATGGACTCGTATGTATCTCGTATTCTTTACATCCTGTTATCTTCTTTGTTAAGCATCGTGACCTGGCGGTGACGATATATTTAACGGAAAGGCACAGAGCGCTGAGGTTAGTAAAACTGAAAGGGATTTTTAACAAATCTCATGAGGTCAAATGTGATTTCGGATGGCCATTTAAGGTTCTGGAGGTGATAATCTTGACGCCATGAATGTACCTTAGTTTAAGATAAAACTGTAAGTTCAGACTTATTTGGATTATAATGATTTTCCAAGCGTAGCTTAGATGTGGCACAAAGCCGAATGTGTGGGGCACCCAGTGAGGATTAAACTCGCTACTCAGCTGTAATGGTTCTAGCGAGACAAGTTTACACCACGTCGAGGTGCCTAATTATTTAGATTATATTCGTAAAGTCAAAAGACGAAAGAGAAGAGATGAGCAGAAGAATTACTACGGAAATATTTACAGAAAAGGCGGAGGGAATCTATGTCTTGAAAATAAAAAAATCCTTAACAAACATTTAGATAAATCAAATATATCTAATATATAATTAGTTATACATTAGGTAGCTCTTCAATACCATTTTAATATCTTTTTTTTTTTTAAATCTGAAGGTTTTTATTTGAAAAAAACTATATGGAACTATAAAAAAAAGAAGCTTGCGTTGTACTGTTTATCCGCCATTTTTTTTTTCATTCTAAAAGTGCTCTTGTAAAGGTAGTTATCGTTATTGTGGAGAGAAAACGCGTTTTTTTTTCTTTACGTGACCCTTGCTAAAGCAGTCATAATTCAGGCGGTTATGAGAGCAAAGACGTTGGAATAAATGGTCCACTTTCGCCGTGTTCTTTTCGAATGAAAAGAATTTATTTTGCCATTCTTTTATTGCTTCCTTGCCTTCTACGCCTTCCGCTTCGTATACCCTCCTCCCATCTACATTCACTTATTGTTTGCTTGGGAATAAATGACTTTATATATATATATATATATATATATATATATATATATATATATATATATATATGTGTGTGTGTGTGTGTGTGTATATATATATATATATATATATATATATATATATATATGTTCATGGATACGTTTTCGTCTCCTTTAAATTTATTGACTTCTTTTGTGCGGCCCTTCATTTCGCTTTTCTCTCGAATTTGCGGGCCGTGATTTTTATTACTATAAAGTAAATTACTTCATTCTTTGTATAAAGATTAATATTTCACTTTCACTTTCACTTTCAAAATATAACCTTTTTTTAAAGGAACCGTTTTCTTGAAAATTGATTTTCTCACGTCAACAATCATTATTTTTATTTTCTTCCATTACAACGACGACAAGCACGACAACAACAATAATAATAACGACTTATAATCATAATTCGTGTTAAATAAACAACGATAGATTTCTTAAAATCGACAGGACAGGACACAGCGGTATATGATGCAAATATCGCCCTGAAAAACGAATTGCATCTTAATAATAAAAATAATAATAATAATAATAGCAATAATAATAATAGCAATAATAATAATAATAATAATTATAGCAATAACAATAACAATAATAGCAATAATAATAATATTAATAATAATAATTATAGCAATAATAATAATAAGAGCAATAATAATAATAGCAATAATAATAATAAGATTAATAATAATAATAATTATAGCAATAATAATAATAATAGCAATAATAATAATAGTAGCAATAATAATAATATTAATAATAATTGTTATTAAAGACCACAAACAAAAAAAAAAGTGCCTTCTTATTGATATGGCAGTCCCTGCAGACTGCAAGGTATCTTTGAAGATATTAAAAAAGCTGTCAAAATACAAGGACCTTTAGTAGAAATCTCAAAAATGTTGCATCAAAACAACAATCCCTGTTGAACCAAGCCCTCAGATTGGTTGGAAAAAGATTCCAGTAGACTAATTAAAGGGATTCCTGGAAGTCCATGCCTTAAAAAGATACAAAAATTGTTCTGAAAAAGATGAAACGAAGGGCTTTATCTATGTAATCTTTTTTTTTTTTCAGTGGAAAGTGTCATGATGCCATCTCTAACCTTAGGTCTCTGGACGGGACCCGGAAAGAAATGTGTAAACGCCAGAAATCAAAGGACATAATAATAATAATAATAATAATAATAATAATAATAATTGTTATTAAAGACCACAAAAAAGTGCCTCCTTATTTATATGGCAGTCCCTGCTGACTGTAATGTATCTTTGAAGATATTCAAAAAGTTGTCAAAATACAAGGACCTTGAAATAGAAGGGCTTTATCTATGTATTTTTTTTTGTCAGTGGAAAGTGTCATGATGCTATCTCTAACCTTAGGTCCCCTTTCACTTTCGTTAGTTCACACGGCCGTTACGCCCTGCCAATACTTCATAAATAATGGACTATTCCGTTTTGAGCGCCTGGAAAGACAGAAGATATATCCAAGACTAAACTTAATTTCAGTGAAAATTAAATAAATAAATAAATAAATAAAGAAAGAAAGAAAGAAAGAAAGAAAGAAGGAAGTGTTTATCTTCATCTGCCAGTACCGTATAAATAATGGAATATTCTGTTTTAATCGCGCGAGTGGACAAAAGATTTATCAAAGATGCTACTTGGATTCAGTGACAAAATGAAAGGAAGAAGGGAAGTCAGAAGTGTTTAACGTCCGATTCAGTGAAATGGAAAAAAGATGTCAATTTCAAATCTTTTTATTTGTACCAAAATAACGACAGACATATTGTTATTCTAATATATTGTTAAAGTTAAGCTCAAATATTTAACCATGTGAAAGGTGCTTTTCTACGGAAGAAGAAGAAAAAAGAACAAGAAGAAAAAGAAGGAAAAGTCATCATTTAAAAAAAAAATCGATTCTCGATTATTAATGCTATTTAAATTAAAGCCAAAGCCAGGGAATATTTTTAGATTCTAAGAATTTATTTTTGATATAATACTGATATAATTCCTATAAATTATCCCATAACTGGAGGAGGAGATGTGGCTTCAAACTTTACAAAAGTATTTTAATATAAATGAATATAACAAACCCGACTGTAATTAGAACCCGGCTGAAAATTCAAGAATCCATTACAAACCTTCACATCCATGTTACAGCACCTGATATTCCCAAGTGATCAACCGTCTAGGTATTGACGTTGACTAACATCGGTGATAGATATGAACACAACACACACACACACACAAGACACACACACACACACACACACCCAGTATAACCCCTCTTCGACCGGGTCTTTCATTACTGGGATTTTTTTGCCGTTCAATTGGAGCAGTTTAAGTTTAAAGTCAGACCAAAAATCAATATCAGTAAAACAACTGGGTGCAACTGAGGCACATCCCCAAATGATGGTGGGGGTGGTGGTGGGGTAACAATTTGAAGGGGGGGCTCAAATTTTTGTGTTTTCAATCTTCTTTCAGCCTCGGCAGAGTTAAAAAAAAAAAAAAAACGTTCAGGTATGCTCTTCTGGAAAGCCGATGGCTACGTTGATCTTCGGACTCAGTGGCTATGATTGAAGCAACAGAGGCATTTTGAGACAGGCGAACTAAACTTTCTAAAAAAACGATTCGTTATCTCTTATTCGCATGGTGGACCTGGCTGCAGCGGCTTTGTGACCTAGGCAAGTTCTTTTCTTTGGTGGCATGTCTTAGGCAAGTAAAATTGTCAAATGGAATGGGTAGGTAAAGAGAACGCTGAAAAACTACAGGAATCACTAAGCTGGAATAACTTTAGGAAAGGCTGAAAAAATAAATGTTGAGTAATAAAAAAGCAAGCTTACTTATTATTATGATGAATGCAATGCAAAAACTGACAAGGCAATAGGAAAATATAAAATAGGAACGTCTATAAACGACAATGAAAGCAACGCCTTAAAACTTTAGTAGTAGGCATTATGCAACGTAAAAAGTAACGTAACCTGAGAAGATTGGTCTCGGCCAAGAAAAGGGGAAGGTGTAAGATGGGCGTACGTAAGTAGAAGCGGAATTAGGGAATTAAGCGGTAGCAATGAGCTTAGGACTGCGTAGACAATCAACGTGACACGGCGACATTTGATTGGACGTGTAAAGGGGCTCCGTCCAGCCAATGTGCAAATCTAACAGCTGTTGCGTTCCACAGGTCATGCGTATGCGCGTGCATCAGCGCGTGTGTCAGCGCGTGTGTCAGCGCGTGACACAGCGCGTGTTGCAGGATCACACGCGATGCACTAGCTAATTATCAAGGTCGGCACCAACGTGCGGAGGTGTGAATCAGGCAGATGCCTTCTAAATTGGAAGAAGTGTGAAAAAAATTATAGGAAATGTATTAGGCGATGAAAGAGACTATGAACAAACTTGGTAAATTTACACATAAAGTTGCAGAATGAGTGGGTTTATTCGTATGCAAGCAGAATGGTGCCTAAATGTTGATGTCTTTCACCTGTAAATCTTATTTTAGGTTCGTTACAATTTAGCGATGGTTTCACAGGAAAAATGATGCAAATAGAATGCAAAAAGTTATCTTGCTTGAGGCTTCATCCCCACCCACAATAAAAAAAAATGTTATTTTCATGCCTGTTGCCTCATACAGCCGCGTACTGATCACCCCTGCAGATACTACATGAGTGTCTCTTCATTGCGCATCTTTTGTGCTAGAGTTCAACTCTCTAAATTGATTGTACGCTGTTCTTTTTACAGACATTAAATTTTGCCTTTGGTTTTTGCGCAAAGTGCAAAAAAATCAGTAATTTCGATTTTTCAATTTCAAGGTTGTAATTTTTTTCAGCCAATTTGGACTCAAAAACGGCACTGAAGAATTATCTATCAGACAAAAAATAATTTCATGGAAATCGGATGAAAACTGATAAACAAAACAGCATCCAATAATGTCACAACACACACACACGCGCGCGCATTTTGAAATAGACACACACACACGCACACACACAGACACACACACACACATATATATTTATATATATATATATATAAATATGTCTGTTCATATCTATCTATCTATCTATGGCTTCACAACTCTATCTATCTATATCTATATATCTATATATAGAGATATAGAAAGATAGATAGATATTGATAGATAAATAGATAATGAACAGACTGAGAACCCCCCATCATATATATATATATATATATATAGAAATATAATGAACAGGTTGAGAACAAAAGCAGATAGATAGATAGATAGATAGATAGATAGATAATGAACCGACTGAAAAAAATAAGCAGATACACGGATAGACACATGGGCAGACAGACATAGAGATAGATATAGATATAGATAATTCATAGATAAAAAAACAAGAAATAGATAGATAGATAGATAGATAAAGATAGATAAATAATAGATGCATACATAGACAGAGAGATAGATAGATAACGGACTGAAATAGATAGACAGATAGACAGATAGATAGATAGATAGATAGATAGATAGATAGTGAGTTACATATAAACCTTAACGAAAATAAAATATTTAAAAAATAACTGGTTACTGAGATTCATACATGAATCCATATATGAACAGACTGACATGGATAGACAGAGATAGAAAATTAAAAAAGTTATCAAAAAAATCGGAATGTGAATCGTGAAAGTTAAATGCTTCATTCTTTCATTGTAAATCTTCAAGGTCGTAAATCGTAATGTTTTCAAAACGAATGGCTTACAAGAAAGCAAATAAAAAAGACCCGAATCCATTTTCCGATTGTTTCAATGGACACATTAAATATAAAATAATGAAGGCATCCATTTTGTTTGACTTTATTTCATTCGAAACTGCTTACAGGATTCAATAAATTATTTTAAAAAAAGTCCCCTCTCAAACGCTTGCAGGAGACACATTAGGAGAACAGAACAAGACAGAATTATCTCAAAAAAAAAAAAAAAAAAAGAACGAGAGACATGGCGACAAAATAATGGCGCAAAAGGAAGTCATCTCTATAATTGATATCAATAAATCGGTAATGTTAATCGTAAGGAGAGAAAGAGAAGGTTAATTATACGGAAGAAAAGCGGTTCAATAATCGAGGAAGAGGCGAATGTTGATAATCTGGATGTTGGCTAGAAGCTGAGTTAGTGGTGGAGCACGAAGATGACAGTCGTGGCAGTAAGTGACAGAAAACTGGGAACAATTCCGAAGAGATTAGAAAAAAAAAAGGTGGAAGAACTTGAATTCATTCAAGGGAATAGTCGGAGATAGGCAAGAATTTTACTGAAAACAGCTAAAATAATAATAATAATAATAATAGTTATAATTGTTATATACTTTAATTTCGACTTTCAATATATATATATATATATATATATATATATATATATACAAATGTAAAAGAAGAAAAGAATATAAAAAAGGCTCAATACAAGAGTAGAGCAATAGATATTTATTATAAACTGTTATATTGAAACATGCAAGTTACCATGACAAAGTGCATATTTGTTTCGATGTCTAATTGCACATCTCATCAGCTGGTTAACGTTGGTGGTGATTATAATATATATATATATATATATATATATATATATATATATATATATTCCTCTCTCCCACTCTATCACTATCAGTTACTCTCTATCCCCCCTCTCTCTCTCTCTATATATATATATATATATATATATATATATATATAAAATGTAAAATTCAGAGTTAAAGGAAAATATATCTGTAAAAGGACAATATGAATAAAGAGAAAAGGAAAACTTATCTTAGATGACGTGTTTCGTCCTCTGATGGATTTTATCAAGGCAAATGTAAGGATTTTATGTTGCAATAAGTATTTATTCACAGAACTAAAAACGCTGTTTACTTTTTGGAATTTTTAATTTTAAGAACCCCCATAAATAGACCGTAGGCTTCTTGAAAGTTCAGGTAAATTATGGAGGCCGCTAATGATGTCATTTAATGTCTAATAAACGAAAAATGAGTAAATTGTTATCTTTTGTTTGTTTACTTTTTAATCAGTTCACCCCAAGCAAGGCTATAATGACACTAAGGCATAAGAGGTTACTGGAAGTGAAAGAGACAGAGAAGACTTTAGAATGGACCGGAAACTCGATCCTAAACAAGAAACAAGGGATAGTCCTCTACTCCTGTTCAACTGGATGATAACTGCATCTACCCAATCCTACTGAGAAAAAATAAAGAGTAAATACAGTTTCAGAGTTTAAGCGAAGATATGAGAATTATAGAATTGAAGTAAATGTCAGAAAGAATCAGAAGCCCAAACAAGGAAACCTAGATTCCTGTTCAAGAGCATGAAGGAGGGGGGACCGTACGTTATTGTTGTTGCTGACCTTTATGGTGTTATTATTATTCATATTATATTTAGTTTGAGAAATTAATTCATGTATTATACAGCGCTGTTCGATAAAAGCGACTCACCTGATCTTTTTTACTAAAACTATTTTTTGTCTATTGTTTTGGGGGTTAAAATAATTTTAATCTTACTAATGTAAAGACCCCTTTCCTTACCACCTAGTAAAAAAGTTTATTCACCCTAAGGTATTCTATTGATAATTATAAATTTAGATATAAATGAAATTCAGGAAAAAAACTCTGTGCAAAAAAAGTGACTCAGATATCGCATTCTAATGATTAAACTGGTAAATTTAAAGAACTTTTGACAAAATATTGAAAACTATTTTACAAGACACTCAGAACAATATTCTAGAGAATTCTAGAACAGCTTAAATTAAATCTAGAGTATTCCAGAATATTCCACACAGCCTCATACAGTATAAAAACAGCTTGAAATAGCCACTCAAGTCACTAACCAGATGAAAAAGTACAAACACGCATCAGAACCACTTAAGGCATCTATTATTGCCCTCTCAAAAGCAGGCAAGTCTACGAGAGAAATTGCAGAAATTGCTATAACCTCGCAATCGTCTCTCGAGTGCTTAGGGCATATAATTATACCACTCCTGCTCCAAGGAAGGAAACAAGGGGACAAAAGAAAAAGATTGATGATAGAACTGGCAGGGTAATCAAGAGAGAAGTTGCGAAGAATAGGACTATAACAAGCCAAGAAATTGCAGCCAGTCTAAGCGAAGAGCAAGGTGTTAGTCTTGCCTCTTCAACAGTCCGTCAGAACAAGGTTACAAATCTTGTTAGAACAAGGCTACAAATATTGTACACGAAGGTTTAAGCCAACAAAGCCAAGAGACTAGAATGGGCTCACTATTACAAAAATTTCACCGTAGAAGACTGGAAGAATGTTCTCTTCTTCGATGAAATGAAAGTTGAGCTAAATTCAAAGGATAAGATGGGTCACTTTTATTGAACAGCACTGTATATTTTAAATAATTGAAGGTTTTGAATTTAAAACCGAGGTGCAGATATATATTTTGGTAAAAAGTGTAGTGTTCTTTAGATCGAAGAGGTGGCTGCATGATTAATAAATTTTATAAATTGTGTATAAAATCGTTTTTATGTTCATAGATACCGTTTTTGTGTATGTTTCTGAAAAATCTCATATAGTAAGAAACATCTGTGACAGTTTATTTTATATATGCCTGCTATATATTTATTTTTTAAGGATATTTTTGGTTCTAAATTTATATATATATATATATATATATATCGTTCCCTGTGAGATGACTTATTAAATAGGTCAATGTCTGGTCCTGAACCCCCCTCCTTTACTCTTAATAATCTTAATAAAAATAGATTTAAAGTTATTTCTATCTCTTCCTCCCCTCTCTAATTTCGACCATGTCTGTCATACACCTCCTCACCTTCTCTCTATTTCACCTTACACCAACTTAAAACTACCCATCAAAAATGCATAAAAACTATATGTAATGTCTACTGGTCTACCTGACAAAATGTATACATTTTAATCCGAAGTGTGTGAATTGGGTCCTAACCTCTCGCGTAAAACAATACAAACACCCTCAGATTATAATACATTTGCACCCAGACATATTTAGGCATATGCACAAACAAAAAAGTGACGACACAGGAAACATCTCCACGGCCCTTTGTAAAAAAACAACAACAAAAAACAAAAAACCGAACACATACATACATACAGAATTAAATGTGCATGTATTGTCCATACATATAGACAGCGATAAATACATGTACACACATCCTCATACATTGACCTAGACAATCTGATACCACAACCAAGAAATATTCAAGACTGAAAGTGTTATTAAACGAATGCTAACCACTTATTAAAATATAACTTATACGGGCAAATATACAAAGATAAAAATGGTTAAAAATACAAATATCTATAAAAAATATATATTTCAAACTTGATTATTTCATTTTGAATTTGCTACGTCCCAATCTGAAATTGTCTATTTCATTATGAACGTGATTAGTCCCAAAATTGCACTTGAAATGGTATAGATGGTGGCTACTGTCTTAACCTATTCAGGAAAATGGGTTTATCACGTCCAGTAGATGCTATCGCTCTTTTCAATATAGATGGAGGCTACCTTCCTAACCTTTTCAGGAAAATGGGTTTTTCAAGTCCAGTAGATGCTATCGTTCTTTCCAGTCTAGATGACGGCTACCTTTCTTTCAGGAAAATGGGTTTCCCAAGTCCAGTAGATATTATCGCACTTTCCAGTCTAGATGACGGCTACCTTTCTTTCAGGAAAATGGGTTTGTCAAGTCAAGTAGATGTTATCGCACTTTCCAGTCTAGATGAAGGCTACCTTTCTTTCAGGAAAATGGGTTTGTCAAGTCAAGTAGATGTTATCGCACTTTCCAGTCTAGACGAAGGCTACCTTTCTTTCAGGAAAATGGGTTTGTCAAGTCAAGTAGATGTTATCGCTCTTTCTAGTCTAGATGAAGGCTACCTTTCTTTCAGGAAAATGGGTTTCTCAAGTCCAGTAGATGTTATCGCTCTTTCCAGTATTGATGGCGGTTTTCTTTCTTAACCTTTTCTTTGACAGGAAAACGAAATCAGCTCTGCGATTTCTTATTCAGAGCCGATATCCATTGCAGCACGACGAAATGAGAGTGATAGCATAAAGACAAACATTGTTAAGAGATACAAATGGTAGGAAGTTGTGGAGAGCCATCATCATTTTGTAGAAGGGACCGTGCACATAGTTGTATCTTTGATATAATTATGTCAGGCTGTCTTCCTCTTGACACACCCACACGTGCTACGCTTGCAGTACGTTTTGTGCCCCTTCGACCCTAATGGGTTAAGGGACTCGTGTTTGCTAATTTTAATTGGCGTACTTTGTAAATCTGGAGGAAATAACCATCCAGGCGCTTTTACACATAAGGAGAAATAAATCCGTTTAAAAACGAGTTGTTATCATTTTAGACGTTCTGTCGACATTTTATTCGCTCGTTGTTTTAAATTGATACTTTTTATATTGATTTTTACTCTCTTGTTATCGTATCTTTTCTGTTCCGTTCCACTTGGTGTTTAATTCAAGTTGTTATTCTTCGCTCTTTTTGTTGTTGTTGTTGTTGTTCTTCTTCTTCTTCTTCTTCTTCTTCTTCTTCTTCTTCTCCTTCTCTTCTTCTTCTTCTTCTTCTTCTTCTTCTTCTTCATTACATTCGGTGTTTGATACAACTTCTTCGATTTCTTGTTGTTCTATTCTAACCGATTTGATTTTTGATCCAACTCAGATTTCTTCTTCATTTCATTCGGTGATTGATTCAATTCATTCTTCTACTTCCATTTCTTCTTAAATTCCTTTTACAATTTCTTTTTCTTTTTCTT